AGAGATGTTAATTTTGGAGAAATTTCATTTCAAATTATTCAAAATACTAAAAAAATTCATAAAGTACAAGTTTATCAAGAAGAAATTAAAATTAAATAAAAAAATATATCTGAGAAGATTTTAAATAACTTAATAAGAAGTTTACTCAATTATGTAATTAAAATAACTAGTAATTATTTGACTGGCAAGGATCAAATAGTTAATACTAGTGCTATAGAAATCTCTTTATACCTGATCATCAATATCACCAATAATATAATGATCTTACTAATTGAATAATAATCAAAATTTATAAATCTTTTTGTACTGAATTCAAAATTAATAAAGATTAGGCTGATAAAGTTGAACAAGAACTCTTTATTAATAAAAGTGTTAAGAAAAGCTTTAATAGATATCAATTTGCTATCTGACAAATTTATCCTAATTATCAGATTGAAAGATGCTGTGAATGTGAAAAATATGTAGATAAATACTATACTAGAATATATTTTAAAATGAATAGAAAAAAAGTAACTGCCTGTGACAACTACATTAGAGAAAAATAATTGAATCTTTCTGCTTGCTCTCAATGTGGTGAACATAATAAATCTAGAGAAATGTTTATTACTGGAAATTATAAAAAGAAATACTTTTGTACTTATGAAAATTAATGTATTTATTGGTTTAATTATAGAGAATGGAAAAAGAATATCAAAATAATTAACAAGATTAGAGAAAGAGAAATACTATTAAAAATTTATAAAGAATGTGATGAAATTGATAAAGCAATCTTATCTTGCTTTATATATGAGAATGACTTTATTCATATAATTATTTATAAGAGTTCTGTAAAAGTTTTTATTGCTAAAATATTCTATCAATAACTTAGCTCTAATTAAAAATAATAACTTGCTTGCTTGGATTATATCAATATAAAACTCTATCAAAAATATCTATTTTCTTGTGACAATAACAAATATAATAATTATATATAATTTGAACTTTCAGTTAAATTGGATAAAGGAAAATGTTTTATGATTTTGAAATCAATTCCAAAAGAAGCAGTAATAAATAAATTAATTGAAAATATTAGTTTTACTCTTATTCTAACTCAGTCTCCTAAACTTGAATTAAATGAAATATATGAAAGATTTAATATTATTTATCAAGCTCTTAATAAACTTTTACAACAATTTAATAATTATTTAAAGAATATCTCTGTAAAATAAAATAATAGTTATTATGTAGTCAATATTTATAATGATCAAGATAAAGAAAAATTACCAAAAAAAGCACATTCTACTAATGCTGGATATGATATTTATTATACTAAAAAAGAAGTAATCAGAATTTCCTCATATCAAGTCATATTAGTAAATATCTATATTACTATAGAAATTCCTATAGGAGTTATATGTCAAGTAATATCTTGCTTATTTCTTATAAAACAAGGAATTAATATTAAAGATGAAACTATTTACTCTGAATATATTAAAAAGATCAGTATTATTATTTAAAATAACTCAGAAGATAATTATATTATTGAATCAGATCAAAAAATTACTCAACTCATATTTTTTCAACTTGCATCTGTTGATCAACTTAAATCAGTTTCTACTAAAGAAGAACTAGAATAATCTAGTTGAGGAATAGCTGGATTTGAATTTATTAACTATCAAGAAGTTTATATCTATTTCTTAAAACAAGAACAAGTAGAAAAAGTTATTGAACAACAAAAATTAACCACTAAACAAGAAAGACTTCTTACTTAACTATTAGAAGATAATACTAATATCTTTATAACTGAATTACATAAACTTGGCCAAAGTAATATAATTTAACATGAGATATATACTGAAAATGAATTATCAATCAAATAATAATCTTATAAAACTACTCTTTTAGATTAATTATTTATATCAAAAGAAATTCAAAGAATATTAGAAGTCAATATTATTTGATTCTTAACTAGTTCTTGAACTTCATCTATTATAGTCTCCAAAAAGAATGAAAAGAAAAGATTTTGTATTGATTATCAAAAGATAAATGCAATCATCCAAAAAGATGCTTATCTATTATCAAGAATTGATGAAAAGATGGACTTTCTTAAAAATGCTTATTGATTTTCATTTATAAACTTAATCTCTAGATACTGGCAAATCAAAATGAAAGAAGAAGATAAGTTTAAAATTGCTTTTATCTCCAGAGAAGGACTTTTGAATTTAATATCATATCTTTTGAATTATATAATACTTCAGCAATTTTTCAATATATTATGGATATGATACTAGAAAAATATAATTGGAATTTTGCTAATGTGTATATTAATGATCTGAATATATTCTTAAAAGATTTTGAAGAATACTTGGATCATCTCAATAAAGTATTTTGCAGAATTAAAAATATCAATTTGAAACTCAATCCTAAAAAATATAACTTTTACAGAAGAGAATTACCATTTCTTGGACACATCATAACTAAAGAAGAAATTTTTTCTGATTCATTCATTATTCAGAAGATACAAGACTTTTCTCAATCAAGAACTATTAAAGAATTCTGATCATTTCTTAGATTAGCTGGATATTACAAAAAATTTATTAAAAGATTTTCTCAAATTGTTATTTCTCTATTCAAATTACTTTATAACAAGAAATTATTCATTTGGACTATAGATCAAGAAGAAGTTTTTCAACAAATCAAATAATATTTTATAACTGCATCTATTTTGATTTATCCTGACTTTACAAAGAAATTCTATCTTTATACTAATATTTCAGATTCAGAACTTGGAGCTGTTCTATCTTAAAAAATAAAGATAGAAGAGAATAAGTAATCATTTATGCAAGTATTACTTTAAAATCAAATGAATAAAAATATAGAGTAACTGAAAAAGAAGCACTAGCAGTAGTGTGAGCTATTAGACAATTTCATTATTATTTGCTTGAAATAATTTTTGAAATCATTATAATTATAATATTAGGAAGGAATATTAATAGACACAATCGTAAATCAACCAGAAGTTAAAATCTATACCATTAACCCTGATACTAATAATGTCAGCTGTCAAACACTGATAAATCCTGCTCAGATTGCATCACAAGTCCTTATCGGATTTAAATTGGATATGCAAAAGATCTACAGTATTAACGAAGAATATATTTAATGAGGTTTTCTCCTTAGATAATCAAGCATTAATAAAATAGCTCATTAGCTTAATTGTTAATTTTTGGCCCATGATTTTTTGGTTTTCTTAATGATAGAATTAAGCACATAATTCCTACTACCACAGTTTTTCAATTCTCATAAATCAAATCAAGAATGAATTACTAGAATTTAGAATGTTCGTCTTAATTTCAATGTGTATCATATTTAGAGATGGGCAAAGTAATTTACTTATTACGTAAAAGTAGTGATTGTAGTCGATTTAGTCATAGTTGATAAAATCGACTTAGTCGACTAAGTCGACCGATTTTTTGGAAGATCGACTTAGTCGAGTCGATAGAGTCAATTATATAAGCAATATGCAGCCAATCAAAATGCATCAAATATCAAAGTATTTTCTAACTGATCTTTATTTTATAAAAAAAATTCGTATATAAGTTTATTGAAAAATCGTTACTTGAAGACAATAATACAAAAGCAACGCTTTAACTTTTCAAAATTTAGTAAAACCAAATTTGGCTTTGAATGAAGTAACGCCTTGTTTAATGATTATATGGTTTAATAAAGTATTTGTAAACCCGAACATATCGATATAGTTTAAATTTTTTGATTAAATTGAAACTTGCATAATACTGCATCAATATTATTTAAATAAGTTTTTTTTTTTAGCCAATACCTTACAATAACTAAGAGTTTTGTATGGTTTGTTTTTTCTTCCCAACAGATAATTTAGCCAAAACAACCCAAAGTGCTAGTTACAACCCCCAAACGTTGCATCAATATAATGTATAGATGGCTGATATACATAATTACTCAAAGTAATTTTTTTTTATCAAAGATATAATAATAAAGCCCAAAAGTTTCATACATCATAAACATGGTTTAGCACATTCTACTTATAATTAATAGAAGAGGGTTTTAATTATTATAAATGAAAATATACATAATTAGGGCTTACTCGAATTAAATATTCACTAGAATATGTGTCAGATAATCAATATTTTGGAGAAGTAATTTCTTAAAAATAGTTAGAACGTTCAAATAATATCCAGGCTTATGTGATTTTAAGTGAAAAAATCTCTGAATCACATAAGTCTGTATACCCTAGTTCAAATATATATATATTCAGAAAATTTTTATTGTTTTAACAATAAAAATTCTTACAATCAATTGTTTTCAAACCTTTGTATATACTGTACGTACCTTTAATGCATTAAAACATTCGTATAATTATATATAAATGATAATTCGTAGCTATCATAATCTTCCTAAAATAAAAAATGTTTGAAGAAACAATTATTGATGAAGATATATTATATAGAGACTTCGAATTTGATGACTTTAATAATAAGGAAAATGAAAGCAATAATGAAGAAAGTGGTTTTAGTGAAGATATCCTTGTGGAAGATGAAGATAACACTTTACCCCAATTACCATCTATTACATCATATTTTCCTTTACAAGAAGCTTCTACAAAATTGACAAATCCTAAAACAAAAAAAAAAAAACTAGTTAAAAGCTGGATGTGGACATACACCCACTAAGATAAGTTAACTAAAATTAAACGTTGTTTAGTAAATGTGGATAAGGGTGATGGTATATCTGAGCAATGCAAAACAACTTTCAAACCTAGTACATCAACTTCTAGTATTGCAGCACATATTCGTACTGAACATCGGATCTTTAAACATCAAAAATAGAAAATACAATCAACTACACCTATGAATTCTATAACAGTTTCTCAACCAACAATTGAATCAATTATTCAAAAACAAGTAGAAAATAGTTCACTTCTTCCTGAAAAAAAACAAGCTCGTATTGCTTACCGGCTTGTTGCCTGGATAGTTGAGGCTATGATGCCTTTAGATTGTATTAACCATGATCGCTTTCATGATTTTTGTTATGAAATTAATTCGCGATTTGATGTTCCTTGCACAAATACAATTAAAAATTTAATCATAAAGTCAGTATTTTATACACGTACTACATTAAAAGAA